CACAGGAAGGGGTAGTCAGGGGACGAGGAGCAGAGGGCATTTGGATAGGGGGTCGAGTCCCAGGGGGTGGTCGGGGGGCTGGATAGGGGTTAGGGCAGTCAGGGGACAGGGAGCAGGGGGGTTGGATAGGGGGTGAGGGTCCCGGGAGGGGGCGGTCAGGGGACAAGGAGCAAGGGGGTTGGATGGGTTGGAGGTTCTGAGGGGGGCAGTCAGGGGGCGGGAAGTGGGAGGGGGCGGGGGCCAGGCTGTTTGGGGAGGCACAGCCTTCCCTACTCGGCCCTCCATACAGTTGCGCAACCCCGATGTGGCCCTTGGGCCAAAAAGTTTGCCCACTCCGATCTAATTCTAGGTTTAGCCTTTTAAAAATATGAGGCCCGGTCCTGCAACCCAACAAAGCTACTGTTGCAAGAATAAGTTTTGCAAGATTGAGTCCTTAAATTGTATATAAAAATAAAACATCAGTATTTAATTTAGCTGCTATAAAAATGTACAATATTAGTTTACTGCAAGGCCCTCAGATCACATTGAGAACCTTCTCTCTTTGTGGAAAGATGCAACACTCATCTCTTTTTGTCATCCTTCTTCTAAGGATGGTGAAGGTTATGGGATTGGAGAACAAGCTCTGCACCTTTGTATTAACTGGCTTAAATTGACTAGGGGGAACAAAAAGGTGTGTTCCTCTCTCAAGGGAATTAGTTACTGTCGCTTTTACAGTTTTGATTACAAGCTCTTCCTAAGCATTTTGTTTATTCATACCCATGGTACTGTGCATTGTTATTTATAACTTGTATTTCTGTAGTGTCCACAATAGACTTTCCATTAAGACAGTCAATGACCTGAAGAATTTAAAATCTAAAAAGACAAGACACAACAACAGCCAGCATATAAGAAAGCATAATTTTGAAATATATGGAGCTAGCACACAGATATAACAGTGATGAGTACCTCATGAACAGTAATTTTACAAATGATGAGATTTACTCATTCAATATTCTGAGAAACAAATGGAAACATTTAAATACTGGTTAATATCCTTTTTTTTCTTTACAAGGTTAATTTACTCACCGTTCGGCATTTTGGGAAGAAGAAACTGCTTCAGTAAGGGAGTAAGACAGACACAATTGGGGAAAGAGTAAGAGAGGAAGAACCCTCCAGAGAGCACAGAGTTTGACTGGTACTGAGTGGCAAAGCACTCTAAACAGTGGAATATGCAGATAAGCTTCTGTCAGGTCTGCTGGAGAGATTGTAAAAAATAATGGAAGCTAGAAACCCATTCTGAATTTAATTCTTCTTTGTTGACCTGTTCAGCCTCTTGAGGTCTAAGATGGCTTGGACTCTTTCTGATCTTTCCCTTACTAGGAAGAATATGGAATAGAACCCTGAAAACATTTGGTCTTGAGAGAGAGGCTCTACTATCCATAGCTCTGGGAGATGAGAGATCTACTTCAGGATGGCTTGCTGTGTCTTAAGGCTGGAGAATGGATAAAGATGTAGAAGAACCTGGAGCACCAGAGATGATCAGTGTTGTACTCTAATGTTGACAGGAACCATGTGTCTAAGTGCCTTCCAGGAGTATTTCTGGGTGGAATCAGGCATAGTTGCAGCCATACTGACTGTTTGGATCGGAAACAAGGGCTGAACTTGTCCCCAGATCAGGACTTGCCTGTGGGTTACTGGTTTAGTGTTTACCCTGGAATAAGAAAAGTCCCTTATCTGGTGGCCTGTGTTGTGGGTAGCAATGAAAGGAGCTTTTGTATAAGAACTGTAGTCCTTTTATCTTTTCTGATATAGAGAATAAATACTTTCACTTCCACCTTATCCCAGTGTCTAACTAAACAGGATTCCCATCTGAGAAGTTGAGGCACAGGGGGATTTGCTTTGAATAGTTTTGCACAGCCTTTTGCTGCCAGCTTCATGGAGTCCATGGATCCATCTGCCACAAATGTAGTTGCTAGGGATAGTTTCTTCAGTGTTGACTTGAACTTATCATGGGCTTCTTGTGGTCCAGGCTTTTCAACTCACTGCACCAGGACGTCATGGCTCTAGTGAAGAATATGCTTGCCAACGAGTGTCTATGGGTTTATCTACACAGCAATTAAAAACCTGCCAGGTGGGAGGGTCTCAGAGCTTGGGCTGCAGCCTGAACCTGAAGGTCTATACCGTAATTAAACAGCCCCTCAGCCTGAGCCTTGTGAGCCTGAGTCAGCTGGCACAGGCCAGCCTCGGGTGTCTAACTGCAGTGTAGGCAAACTCTATGGATCACTGAAGACGTTTCAAAGTTCTATCTAAGGGTAGCTTCCATCTTCTTATCTGCAATGTCTTTTGGGAAGAAATAATTGTTGGTAAGATTAGCACAAATTTTTACTTGGGGAGTTTCTGTTAATCAGCTTTAGGGAGAATAAAGAACCTTTGGCTTTTAAGATCCTATGAAACTCCAGGGCTTGTTGACAGCTTTTTTTTGTCTTTGGTTGGGAGTTTCTTATCCTTCCCCAGGAAAGAGGAGTGGAGGATGAAAAGGGAGTCAGAAAACTATTGACACCAAGAAAAAATGAAAAACAAAACTATAAAAAAATACAAACTTAAATGATTAAGTATTGAGGTCTAGACTGATAGGCAAAAAGGAAATGAAAGGATCATCATATACAATATATACAGTACCGTAGCATGACACTAGTCCATACTCAGTAAATGCACGACTGATGGATTTTTCCAGGATTCATTGGATTAGATAACTATAAGGCAGTCCTCGTGAGAAACTCCAAGAGTGGATTTTACAAAAGAAAGACTAAGTTTGAAAACAACTTTTTACTTAAAAGATAAAAAATGATCTCCACCAACCCCTGCTGTTTAAAGATAGCCATGACTCAAATATAATAAATATGATTCTGTACATTCCATTCTTCAGTACTGATCAATGGTTTCATTTTAGATGTTGTCAGGGTTACACACAAATATATAAAACACAGCAGTACTGTCTTGCTAATTTAAATAATTATGCTATTCACTTTTGTAAAGTATAGCAAAAGTATAAACTGAGTTTTTAAATTTGCAATATTATGACAATCCAGACAAAACTTGTTCTTAATTGAAATTAAAATTTAAACAATACAAACA